AATAGAACTGATCTTGTACTTTGCTCTGCAGCTGATGCTGGCGTGTGGAGAGAGGAGGACGGAGGTGTTCGTTCACTCCCTGGAACTGGGTCACACAGCGGGAACGCGAGCCATCAAGGCCATGGGTGAGCCTGGTTGCTCCTAGCAACCTCTCCTCATTCTGTTGTTAAATACGTCGCTTATAGAAGACGAACTAAGCACATCCCTTCTAATCCTACAGTCTATGCTACATTTCTAAACAGATGTAAATGTCCAGGGAAAGTTGCACTTGAGCTGGAAATGAATGATCTGACATAATGTTTTTTTTATTTTGGTTTAATAACTGTAGACCTGCTTTCTGTTCCAGGTGCCGCCAGTAAACGGTTTGGCATTGACGGCGACCGAGAGGCTGTGCCCCTCACTCTGGACGTGGTCTACAACAGGGTAAGGCCTCTTGGGTTAGAACCGCTGCGCTGCTCCATGTCCTGCCCTAAATATGCAGTTTCGTCCCACAGCAAGAGAGCAAAATATTACGGTTTTAACGAATCACGTCTTTGGAAGAAAATCAGCTGGTTTCAGTTTTTGTATTTAAGTTTTCTTATTTCTTTTATTGATCTCAAATTGGAGAAATTCCCTCTCTGCATTTAACCCCTCCCCTTGGGGAGCAGTGGGCTGCCATTGTGCGGCGCCTGGGGAACAATAGGGGGTTAAGGGTCTTGCTCAGGGACCCAGAGTGGAGGATGTGGGGATCAAACCTTAGAGCACTAACCACTAGGCCGACACTCCCCCAACAAATAAATCATAATATTTGAACTTAACAGAATTTATCAACATTAATAACTGAACTGGTGATTGATTGGTTGGTTGGTTGACGGTTCATTGATTGGTGTGTTGATTGATTGATTGATTGGCCGATCACAGTATCTGCCTAACGAGCTGCAGTCTCTCCTCACTGAGCTCGGATGCTTTCAAGACTTTTCCTAAATCAGCTGATTTTTCAGCTCAGTTGACAGATGACCAGCTAAGAAACTATTTTATCATCTTTGTTGTTTTTCAACCGCGGCTAAAAGCCTCTGAGTCCTGCTAGAAGACTCAATAGTTGTTGCTTTTTAATGTCAGCACCTTTCATGGAGGAAAATATTTTTATCAGGACAGATTTTAGTGTGAATCTATATTTAAGGCTCTAAAATGATGGATATTTTATTTAATATTTGAATAAAAGCTCCTTCCTGACTGTGGACTCATCAAATTATACATTCCATGCATAAATATTAACATCCTACCTTTTAGTTGAATATTAGTGTTTTCTTTCTTAAATTTCCCAACAATGCATTTCAGTTCCACTCTAGCTCCACCTAGTGGTAGAGCAGGAACCCTGATATTGTGTGCAGCATGACTCTGCCTCATTGCTTCCTGTCTCCAGCATCCAGCGTCTGTTTTTTAGAAACCTTCCGTCTCTTTCAGGTGGTGGTCAGTGGAAGAAGTCAGTGGAGAAGAGAAACCAAGGTCTGCACTTCCGTAAACTTGATCAAAGCGTGCAAGAACCCAGAGGAGCTCGGTAGGTTGGTGCCTGATGCTATAATGTATGAAGAAAACACGCAGATTTATTTATATTTTTTAAAATAAAAGCCTGCATCCTTTTCCTGTTCAGCTTTTCATCCAACACACTTTTGTTTTAATAGTTTCTATATGATCTAAAATTGATGGTTGTTACTTATTTATTGATTATACACCATTTTTTGGTATTTTAAGTGCATTATTATTGTCTAACAATGGGGAAATTCTTAATCTCAGTAACCCTGAATATTTAAAAAACTATTTTTTATTTTGTTTTCTACTACATACAGTCTAATTAGGCAATTAAAAATCAGCGGGTCTTAATAAAGAAAATCAACAACCAGTAAAGGTCCAGAGACATTTTTAATTATAATCCGTTATTTTAAACAGAATTTAACACTGAAATAAAATGAAGGTTTTTATGCATCCGTTGAATTTTTAGATAAAAATATTTAAAAAATAGGAAGTTTTTCCTATTTTAAGATCTAAATTGTTTTTGACTTAGACAACAACAATCGTTCAGTTTGGTTAGATAATTTCCTGATTCCCATATTTTATAAAACACCTGAACTGAGCGTTTGTTATTTTTTCCCTTTTTATGGCTTAAAGTCATAGGGAAGTCATATTTAAATTTCAAAATATGGCTTAAACATGTATATAAATGTAATCTTATCAGACGATATTATCCCATTTGTTGAGGGTTTGTTATTTTCTTTCTTTTTTCTGTCTTAATGTTGGCAGTGGGCTTTAGGCTGCCCTGCAAGGCTTTAAACCTGGGTTTAACCGGAGACTAAGCCATTCTCAAGCACATATCAAGGAGCTCATTTTGAGCCTGGATCCAGATTTATTGTTGATTCTGTTCATGGTGAAGAATCCTGCTTCACAGCAGCAGGTTGAG